CCATCATCCTAGGAAGACCCAGACCCACCACAGACCACTGAACCACTCTCAGCACCTCAGTGAGTCAGAGACCCAGTGAGTACGGTTATGTCCTCCCTGCCCCTCCACCCCGACACCACCTGCTCCACCCACCAGCCGAGAGAACAAGGAGCATCCCGTCCCCAGGACGTAGTTTGTCTCTGTCTGCTTCTTCTGTGTTGGTGGGTTTGGAAGCTCCTCACACACACAGGAAGCTGTCAGCAGCTCTTTGCATCTGCTCACAAACCAAGAAGGAGACAGACGGTTCAGGCTGAACAAGAAATAATAATTCTAAAAGCTTTAAGGTATTTCATTTGTCACATAGAACACAGTACGTTCATGTAAACTGTATGTACTGTATGTATACTGTTTATTTACAGAGTAGCACAATACAAAATAATGAATGACAAACTTTCTAAATATGTCTTTATATTTGAAACAATATCATAATATTTCTGATATAATTCAAAAATTTGAAGTGATAATTTAAATGTAGTTTTATAAACTTTGTTCAGGAACAGGGCCATGCCCAGAACACCGCTCATTTCCTCTGCACAGAGTATTTAAGCGCAACGAACCCGTTCACTCCCTCTTCGACACTTGTCTTCACATCCCTCCCCCCAACCCCGTTTTTGTCCTCCTATTTCTCTCTCTCTCTCTCTCTCTCTCTCTTGTAGGATTACAGGAACAACAGGGGAGTCTGCACCGCCAGAGCTTCCGAAGAGACGGCCCCCACCCTACAGTCTCCAGTCCCCCCCATTCCCGCCAGCCACCGGACATCAACGGTCCCCCATCGATCGCCTAACCTCATTTCTACAAACCCTCCTCGTTTCTTCTTCCTGACATCCCTACATCCATCTACCCTACATCCCTTCATCCGTCTACCCTACATCCCTTCATCCGTCTACCCTACATCCCTTCATCCCTCTACCTCGACCCCTACCCCACATCCCTTCATCTCTTCATCCCTACCCTACATCCCTTCATCCCTCTACCCTACATCTCTTCCTCCCTCTACCCCTACCCTACATCCCTCTACCTCGACCCCTACCCCACATCCCTTCATCTCTTCATCCCTACCCTACATCCCATCATCCCTCTACCCTACTTCCCTTCATCCCTCTACCCCTACCCTATATCTATTTCATCCCTCAACCCCCTTCCGCTACTTGAATCTAACAAACTATGCAATAAACCTCTCAAAACTCACTGTTATTGGCATGGTCATTGTTAGTGAATATCTTATTGATTTTCATTTGACTCAAAGGCATTACTGTTAAGTATTGATAATCATAATATTACATGTTGATATAAATAAAATGGGGAAAGCTTTAGATTACGGCCCGTAATGTGCAGCATAATTCTTCCCAATTTAATTCAAACTAAATCATAAATAATTGAAATCTTTACTGTTTGTTAACCAGTACAGAACATAATGATACATAGATGTGATGTTAATGAATAAGGGGGAAACAATGTGGAAACTTAATTCAATATTATCATTATTATTTTTTACAACACTGCTGTAGTTTATTTCAAAATGATCATATTGAACTTACCAACACTGGAGAGGCACAGATGATCTCAAAATAAGGAACTACATAGAAAATAACTTCACGGTACATTTGTGTTTTTACTTTGCAACAAACAGAGGTAGAGGTAAAAGAGTACTGTCAGGTACATACCGTTGGCCTAAATAGATCATTGAAAAATTTGAGTCATTTCATAATATCAAAATGAAATTATGATGTGACAAGTTCATCTTGGTTATTATGGCATCTACTTTCCTCCAACAGCATTTTCTGGTAGATTGATGACTTTGCACCGTGTTTCATCTGAATTCAAATATTAAAGGTACAAGAGGAGGGTCAGGAGGTTTTCTAACTCTAACTAACTAAGGACATACAGTCAAATTAAATATTCCTGATGAGGTTGTGGTGACTAGTATGTTTGGGTCTTCAATGGGTTCCAATGAAATGATCTGCTCATGTATTTCTTTACTTCAAGGCGTTTTGGCCTCTGGGTGTGCACCAGGTCAATAACTGGATCAATCAACCCATCAACCAATTATCTTAATCCCTTGTAAAGTAATTCGTCACAGCTCATCATAAATTCAGGAGGAAGAGCAAAGGAAAGTCAAAGGAACACTGTTGTGCTATCAGGAACACAAATGAATCAAAGCAAAGTTGTCAATATCTAAATGCCAATAATAGCACGTGTTGAGGCAATGACAAAGACAAAGCTGCAAACAATGGAGAGATGATCAATACGTGGAATTGCAATCCATTGCTGAAGTAGTGGTTGGGTCAAAGACCTGAAGCTGGATTGAGATATTTGGATCTGACTCCTTTGAAGTTAGACCCACAGGACCACAGAATTAGAGATATAAAACAATCTGTTCAGTCAGTGTTTTCTCCTCAGAATTAAATATGGCATCTCAGACATCACCAGGTGTTTGCGTACTGCTAACCAACAAAATTCACTAAAAGAGGAGATGATGGTTTCCACCACTCTTCACTACTACATGCATGCCAGACAACATAAGCCCAAAGTAAAGCACATGATGACACTCAAAATGCTGTGTGATTAATTACAGCGAGCATAATATCATTATAATCTACAATGGTAGCCAGTTTGGCTTGCAGTGTTCAATAGATCTGTTCTGTTATGAGACACTTTGCCCAATAACACATGTACCCATTTGAAAACATAACAATTGTATATAGCTAATCTCGCCATTCATGACAACTGTGCTGGGGATGAATTTTGATATTACTCACCTTTTTAAATCATATTAAGGCCTAAAGTGAGGCATAATTGAGGTCGTGGCCGCTTTGAGTGACAGGTGTGTGCCGTACCAGGTCGCTAGCTGCTAGCTGTCTGCTCTGCTGCGTCACCGGGCCGCCTCAGCTCCACTGACGATCCACCTCTTTGCCCAGTGTTAGTCATCATCATAACTCTACTTGAAATACACCTTTTGATGTAAGAAACATACATATGTGCACTAACTGATCATACAATTGATATATTTTCACTAATAAGGACAAGACTATCATATTGAATTCAAGAAGTCAGAGTGTTACAATTGCCCCCTAACCACTGTTACCACTAAGGGGGCAATTGTAACAAAGTGAAGTATGTTTATTGATGAACTGCTATCCTTAGAACACATTTACCTTAATACACAATTTAAAATGGAATTTTACACTACAATTTCAAGGTGTTTACATTGGGCCATGTGTGTGTTATAATCACACCTGATCTTGGAGCCATGATAAAATCAGAAAGCATAAGATCAAGATAATTTTCTTTGTGACCTCAACTTGCCAAATAGCTTATGTTTGCACTAATAACAAGACCAAAATATCCAAGTCTACAGTTTTATATTATTTACCAGTTGGCGCCGGTCATCAATAGAGCTCACCTAACTTAAACTCCAACTGATCTACCCATTTCATACCAGGTGATAATGATAAATAAATCATATCAGTCATATTAATGGCATCTAGTGGTCTGTGTGGGTGTTTTCTATAATATCATCATTGATTGTGTTTTGCCATGGTTTTGCCCACCTGCAACAACGTGTTGCCATGTCAATCCCTTGCCCCTCTTTGCACACTCTTAATATTGAACCTTGAATGAACCTGTCAAGTGGAGCAAATAGTAGGGTTTTCTTTGATTTACTCAGAGAAATGGGATTAATGGATATGATGATCCACACTCCGGAGCAGAGGGTAGTGGTAATGCAGCTGCTATGTTCGTTGCCAACTGCCGTCAAAACCAAAACGCAAGCAGCAGCAAAAAGCCATGTCGAAAAAAAGTGAGATAGAATACAATGCAGAGCCATAAGACTTAGCTTGGGAGCAGTCAAAAGCACTTCCATTAATGTATTGCTAGTGGAATCCACGGAACTGCTATTACATCTGAGGAGAACTAATTTAGGTTAGCACTATCACACTGGATTAGAATTCAGGGTGGACTTAACATAAATATAGCATCAACTGTCCTGTACAATTGTTGGGAGTACTCGACATTCCCTGTTAAAAGCTTTGGATGGGACATTAATAACAGGAAAATTAAACATTTCAAATTAGATACCATAGAACATAGTCCAGCAGTTATTAGTAGCAACATTGCTCCATGGATAGTTCCACAACCCAAGGTAAATCTAGAGATATTAGAAAACAAAAGAGAATGGACTGAGAGGAATTTTAACATTGGATACTTGGTTCAAGATTACCTGATGAAAAGCTATTGTAATTATCTAAATATGTTTACAGATGGATCTAAGCTATGAAGGCAAATCACTGTCAAAATCCGAGAGCGCAAATGAGATCCATGCGCGCGCGAAAATCAAACAGCCGCTCGCGTATTTTACTTTGACGAGCGCTCTTTTTGAAATACAAATTATGTTAATAGCGTTGTTAAATACAATAATTAAAAATGTGTTAAAGTCAAGTTGCTCAGATTGGTTTAAATTCACTCCATCATTCTATTACAGACAATGTGTGTTTGATAGTCAAACCTCTTGTGACAAGAAACTCTTTGATCTTAATTGATTAAAACATGATGTGATCATATTTAATCATACTGTTGTGTTTACAGAAGAGATATAATATAGTTGTATATAATATGAGCAACAATTTGGACCTGCTCAAAGATCTGGAGCCAAGATTAGGGACCACTGTTTGTATAGATCCAGGAAGGGAGTGGAGCATCAAAGGACTGTTAGAGATAGGGGACAAACAAGTTCAGCTTAAAAGGGCTTTATTTACATTTTTTTAATGGAACGTGTTTAATATCCAGAATATTCTTTCTATATGAAGTCTTTTTCTATTTTATTTTTTATTTATAATAACAATATTATTATTAAATGATAAATGTCATAAAGTCATGATGTTACACACTCCGGTACAGTAGGTGGCGCATGCACCTTAAACGTTGGTTTGTAGTCCGCCAATAAACTGAAAAGGAGATGAAGAAGCAATCCAATATGGCGGCGCCCTGCAACTTCATTTACTGACTGAGGTCAGAATAACAGCTTAAATCTTGAAAACTCATCAAGAAGAACACTAGAAGCTGACATGTTTTTGGAAACGGCTCAGTGTTTAAAAACGGCGGCTCCGTTGTTTTCTCAAACCGTTTTGCTGAAGGATTTGAGACGCTTGTTCACACATGGAGGAGCCAGTCACGTCCAGGCCAGGAGACACTTCGGTGTCAGCCGCTCTCTGACAGCCAAGGTCCCCCCACCGCGCAAACCCAGGGAGAGAGTGGGCATCCCCGGGCTGGAGATGGTCACCTACGGGGAAAGGATGCACTTTGTGCCGGGGCTGTCGAAGCCTGTTAACCCGCATTGGGAGAGGGACTACAAGGACCCAAGGTATTACAAGTCTCCTCCGGCCCACGAGATGCCGCTGTTCAAAGAGAAACCGTGCTTTGTGTACAACCAGAGGACCAGCGCAGTGGAAGGTAACATGTCTCCCCTGTATCACACTTCAAGCACATATTCGTTGTATAAAAACAAGGTAGTATTCCTGGCCAGCAGTAGGCAATGTGACGTCACAGATGAGGCTTATTATTCCTATAGTGATTCTACACAATGACCCAAAGACAAGCATAAACTGAGATTTGAAGCAGTTCAACTGGTGCTTGGAGGATTATCGATATGCCGAATTTATCAGAATATCCCACTGACTCTTATTTAGTCATCTTTTCAAAGGTGTGCCCCTTCGCAGGGGATCATGAAGTAAATTAACTTACAGAATTTTAAATTAAGTTTAGCCTAATTTTTAAATGCTCATCCTACTCTAACTTTGGCAGATGAGCCTCGATATATGCCCGTTAATGGATGTTCAGTAATAGTAACCCTTTTTTCCTTTAGTAACCCGTGTATATATTTGTGATTATTATGAATTTACAATGTAGCATCAATTCTCTGTGATTTGTCTCACTCATTCATGTGGAAACATGACTGGCCTGTGGTGTTTCTCGAGAGCTGCTCTTACACACAACTTCACACTTACCACAGAGCTTCCTCGGGTCCTCAGCACACCTGCCATAGTTGGGTCACACACACCCGAATATGGCTACTTTTTCAATGGAAGGCAAGGTGGCCAACTAAAAGAGGCCCTAACAGCCATTGTTATTCCATGATGTTTAGATATGAAAAATGTTACAATTTGTTACTATTCCATCTCATTGTACGCTGAAATAACTTACAAAAAAGCCACTTATATACTGCTTACTGTGTACTACTACTTCTTAGAGAACATTGTTGTAATACATGTACCTTTCAGAGAGACTGGTTGCATTGCAGATTCAGATATTACTTTCAAAATATATGATTATAATTCATTTACCTACCCAGCATTCTAAATGGAAGGCTCCACCTTGAACAGACGAGTAAATAGTCAATAGTTTTACTTCAGAAATAAAGTTTTGACTGCTGTTATTAAAAGTTGTTAATGTGACTTTATTAAGTTTTAATATCTTTTCATGCGAGAAAGTAACTGTTTGGATTCTCAATGTGTGGTCAGTTTTTCCCAAACAGCGCCTGTTTGGAAATTTGCATTTTTGGAGATGTAAGAGTCGCTACAGGGTGCTTTGAAACTGGCCTGGCTGTCGCTTTGCATACGTTAGTGAACCCATGGAGTGAACAGAGGCCCCATCCCCCTTACGGACTCACGGACTTTGAGGCGCACTCCCGCAAAGTCCGTGAGGGTTTAGGGCTGTCCCACTGTCAAATCATCGAGTGTTTGAGGGCTCTCTTGCAGACATTTTGAGCCCTTTATGAACCCTTTCCGTAAGTCAGCCGCCGAAGGGAATTACCCACAAATCATTGCAATGTGACGTTAAACACGGGGTAACCAGTGGACACATGGAGACGTAAAAAAAAAAAAAGGTACACAAAGAGGACGACTCACGTGTGTTCAGTCATATTAAATTTACACAGAAACATTAAGGATTACAGAAGGAACAAAAAATAAACTTGAAATCGGAGGATATTTATTTATTTATTCTTCAGATATTCGATTTTGTCATTGAAGCCGTTTTGACAAAAATGAGTAAATAGATTATATGAAGTTACCTCTCATCTTGTGAGGAAAGAGCCTGGAAGATGTTGAAATCAGGGAGTACAAAGTATAAAATAAATACCCACAATTATACATCATATTTTTTGTCGTTTTCATGGTAACGTGATAAAGTACTGTCCCCAGGGTTTGAGGCTTTAGGGGGGGACATTAGGATTGGGCCAGTCACTCGTTTAGTATGAAACGTACTGTTTGGAACACAGCCGAGGGACTCGCATGCAGAGGCAAACGAGCCCGGCCTAGCGGACGCACTTTGTTATAAATTAGTGTGACGATAACTTGCACAATTTGAGTTTCCATGGCAGAGTGATGCGGTTGCTGTAGGCTATCCACTCGTTGACTCCAGCGAAGTGAAGAAAAAGTTTGGTTGGGATGTTATCCAGCAGGCATGTAGCGTTAGCAGGCTATATCCAGCAGCCATGTAGCGTTAGCAGGCTATATCCAGCAGCCACATTGAACTGCAGCAGTCCGTGGGCTACTTTCTCCCCGCAGCAGACGACATGCTGGACTGCAGAGCCTTGAAGCTCCGCCCCCACTGCTGCACAGAGCGCTCTGTGCTTGTTCATTCAAAGTTTATTAATATTGCACTTGTCATGTATCCTAATTCTGCAAATATGCACCAAATTCGAAAAAACACTCCATGGGGTCCCCAAACCACATGTGAAGTAGATCAGATGAGCTTTGGAGGAGATATGTGAAGAACACACAGACAGACAGACGGACAGATTCCCAGCTTTATGATTAGATGTAGTGCTGGCTACAGTATAGATCCAACCTGCATATGAGTGCAAGTGACCTCCAGGTTAATCAATCATTTTTCAAAACCTCATGTCTTTAAATCTGTATCTCCCTCTGTCTCAGGTGTGCGTCAGGCTCTGTGGTTGACCAAAACCAAACTGATCCCCGGTCTGCCGCCTCAGTTCCTCTCATTAGCAGAGAGTCCTGCCAATCAGATACCAGATCAGGATAAACGTGTGCAGAACGCCATCAAACACGCCCGCTTCTGGGACACGAAGGAGGAACGGCCGGGCAGAGAGAAATACAGGTAGTGCGTCAGTGTGTTGTCTGGTCAAGTAGATTAACAACTAGTGAGGCACATTTTTGTTTATGTGGACACTGAATTACAGTTAAAAAAAATCATTAAAGGTGCTTAATACGAAAATTCAGAGCATATCTATTTCCTCCACAGGCTTTCAATATGGCAACAGCTGAGCCGGCAACTACAACCTTACGGTGCTAACAGCGCTAGTGTGCAAACAATGGCAACAGTGCTGACAGAGCTAACAGTGTTTACCTGGGGCAGTGAGTAGGGATGGGTATCGTTAGGATGTTATGGATAGTAGTACTCTTATCGATACTCTTAATGATTCTTTTTCATTATTTTGTGAGACAAAAAACACTTAATTAAGAAAAGAATCAACATTGCTTTATTATTCTTGTATGTAAACGAATAGTCTTTCTTAAGCAGCAATACAAAAAGTTCCAAAATCTGTAGAATACATTGGCAGTGAATAAGCGAAGCAATTAGCTTTTATTCACTAACCTATTCTTATTGGCAAACTGCGTATGGCATTGCTAACATTACCTGCAGTGGACGAGGATGGACGGCTGCTCGCCATGATGTGTGTCTCACGCTCTAAAGTAACGATAGAACTGTTAACTCCGGACCTGATCAATTCTCTGGGTTTTACTTATTTAGAACCGGTTCCCGTTTAAAAACGTGTTTCGGGGGGCATCCCTAGCAACCAGTGAGGCAGGCTCACATGCACTAACATGCACTACCATGCACTAGAGGCACGTACAACTGGCCGGGCTACGCCAACAAAGCAAGGAGAAGCTCTGATCACAGCACACACAGAGGGAGAGAGACTTCATTCTCTGCTCAGGTAGACATTACTACACTATATCTTTACATAGACAATAGTTTTTTTTATGCTTTATTAATGCTCTGAATATCTTATAGAGAACCTTTTAATGTGTTGCAAAACAATAAAGAATTAGTCTTCAGTCTCTTTTGTGTAAAATGTGTCCAAATATATATACCCCAAAGATCCTACATATTCACAATGAGGCGACGAGTAGCACAGGTTAATGACGACAACAAGCCCCTGGTATTAGAAATACAAAACAACTAGCCTCCAAAATACTGTTTATGAACCATATATTTCAGTTTCACACTAAATGCGGCCAGTGTGAATTGTCCTCTGTCAGAGGAACACACCGGTTGGGCGCATGAAACCTTTTGTTCTGCGCTACGCAGCCCTCAAAGTAGCACTGGCATCATTGCTGTGACTAGTGCCATAGAAAGCCTTAGTTAGTTGTTCAGGGCCACCTGGGCCCCGTTTCTCGTACGTGGCTAACTGAGTTAGCCGGATAATTTTCAGGATAAGATTACATATGTCAGGCTTTTCGGTTCCACGAAGCAAGTTTGGCAAAATCACCATAGCAACACATCCATAAGCTTGAACCTGCTCCAGCGCAGGCTAATTTAAGGTAGCTGGATAAGCTGCCACTCCCCCGGAAAAAAATGGCAGCTCCTGTCATATACGGTAGTCTAATGCGCTTGCGCATATACTGGGGGTTATACGGGAGTTCCAGAAATGCATGTAAAGTGAGACACACGGTGATCCATTAAAACCAGCTGAGCAAACTAAGAAGCCTCTATTGCATTAATGTAGAGCTCCCTTCCTCAGAGATCCCATTGATGAAGGAGCGATATTAGTTAGATTAGCGTTTTATAGGGAGAGAGTTCTTCGACATCGCCAAGATCCGTTATCACATCATGATGACTTCCTATACGAGCGCTATCGATTCTGCCGACAAGGAATCATTTATTTACAAGACCTTCTCGAGCCATACATTGAACGCCGCAGCCGAGCATTGACTGTCTCACAGACTGGATGCAGCCTTGCGCTTTTCTGCGAATGGTACATTTTTGTACAGTGTCGGCGATGCGGAGAACATCGGGAAAGCCGCTGCATGCAGTGCTGTTCGTAAAGTTTATTTGGCACTTAATAAACTTATGGATGTGTTCATTACCATGGCACATATTGTATTGACTGACCATTCTGAATAGTGTTTTGTGCTTAGTTTTTACATGCTCCCATGTCCTCTTGATGGCTGGGTTGCATACATGGGGGTTGAAAGCACTCATAATTATATGACGGTGTTATTAGTACACCATAGCATATCATTATTGTAGAAAATGATTAAGGTGGACTCATGATAAGAATAGAGAGAATCACACAATTTCTTTTCACTGCTTGAATTGATTGAATTTCCATTTATGAATAATACATACATAGGCTACTGATCCGCCCATACACAGATTCGCACACACATATTCAAACTAGTTATATATGGTAATCTACACATACATGTATATACACATATATAGTAGGCTACATGATACATAAGCGCATACAATACATATATCCTTATATTAATTTGTATCAATTAGATACTCTTTGGGCTTGTTTTTATCTACTTATTCTGAAAGAGTTGAGATAATTATTTTCGCTATAAGATCTCATTGGATGATGCATTCCATTAAGCCTACTGCCAGCAGGCACATTTAAAGAAATATAATCTGATTGATTGGGGTGATGAGGCACTTAAAATTAACCTATACATTTTCCCAACACTTACGCATTTAACTTGTCTGCGATATTTTGCCATGCTTCTTGTCTAGCCCTCGCAACGGTGTTAGATTTTGCCATGATTATGGTCTTGAATTCCTCATATGCGTTCATGATCATCTCCTGCTCATTAGCGGAGCAAAAAATAGACTCTTTCTTTGAGTTTATTTGCCATTGTACTGTTAGAAAATCATGGTTTCGGTGATCGACGCTTCCCCCTTTTGAAGTAGGACGGGCACGCGCAATTATCCTGATCCCTGATCGTCTGGTTCGAATTAACGAGAGTGTTTGAGCGTGGATCAACCTTGGAGAAACCGAGATAGCCTGACATCAATCATCGGGTTAATGTAGGCTGGCTAATAGGACATTTGATCGACTTAGTTGAACCACGTACGAGGAACGGGGCCGGCCCTGAACTCATATACTGTTTGTATTGACTAACCTTTTTAAACGAGCCTCTGTGATCCCCTTTGCTAATGATGAAGTGACTTTGGTGTTGGTGATTCAGAGGTCTGAATATGTCTCTGGCATATTGGCAGCACAGGTGCTTTTACAGTCATTGTTTGGGCAATAAATCACTCCTGTGTGTGTGTGTGTGTGTGTGTGTGTGTGTGTGTGTGTGCGCGCGCTTCTAGCAACACGTTGCTCTTCAACCTGCTCCATCTGTGTGCAACTCTACAGTCCAGCCACCCTGCAATTGGAAGGAGGATCCTTTCTGAGAAATACTCTTTGGCAGCCACATGGAAAAGAGGTAATATATCGTCTGGGATTACCTGGTGTAGTACTTGTCCTTGTGGAGTTTTTGACCACTACTGGTACTAATGGAGCAATGTGTTTACCTTGTGTTTAAAGTGCATGGAGAATTAAAACTCTGGAAAAAACATTAATGTTTTTAGTCCATGTAGAACAGGGGTCACTAACTGGCGGACCACGATCCGGACCCAGGACCTAAAACCGATAGATAATTGAGAATTATTAAATTTTGACCAGCGCAGCTTTTCCAGCATTTATGGCACTTGTTCAGCGGTGCAGGAAACACACCGACCAATGCGTTGTAAATAGTGATGGGTATCGTTTGGGTTTTTTCCGATACCGGTGCCTGAACCGTTACTTTTTCTTCAAATTGAACAATATATTAAGTGTTTAAAGTATACTATAAATATAAATAAATACAAAACACTTGGCTTCAAACTACAGCTTCAAACCTTTTAACTTCAAACTATGAACAATATATATTAACTGTTAACAGTATACTTAAATAAATACAAAACACACACACACACACTCTGTACACACACTACAGCTTCAAACTTCAGCAATTATTTTGCAGAAATTTGAGCATATTTGCATTCTCTGGCAAAATACGACCTCTCCTGACTTATTTTATTTTATTTAACCATTTGGTGGCGCTAATGCGGCAATTCATCGTTTGCCAACCGCCACTACACCTCAAAGAAGAAGAAGGTTTCGCGTGCCTGTGGGTGTTAGCGCTAAGTACCCAGCTGGTGATGGAGGAAGTCAGTAGCCTGCCAGCCGTATGACAGATCTCATTCTCGTTTTTTGTTTTTTTAATAAATCATGGCCGAAGCTTCGCCAAAATGATGGAGGGGTTTGTTTCTAAGCGCGCACGGCTCGTCCGGTTGTAATAATACTATGAGTGAGGAGCGGAGGACAGATGCTATTGTTAGCATAGGTCCTAGGACGAGCTAACCTAGGACGGAGTCATCAGAGTAGTGTAAAAAAAGTATTTTAATCGGCTCAGGCACCGAAAGGAAGCACCGAAATCTGCGTTGCATTTCGGTCCGGTAGATACCGGTCGTATAGGAACCGGTACCATACTGGCACCGGTTTTCGGTACCCAACCCTAGTTGTAAATCACATCACGTGATGCAGCTCAGCCAATCAAATATGGGTATTCTGACAAGTTTCCTGACTCGAGTGAGATGTACACACACCGTGACACACGAGGAATGACATAGCAGAGCAGGACAATTATTATGTGAGTTGTAAAAATCAAATCACAGGACGATCTCCAAAAGAGAAAATGGCCATAGAGACCCAGAGTCTTTAACCAAGAATGGACAGACTCGTATAGGTGAGTTCTTCCCACGGACCGCTAAAAAACAGTCTCATTTGGAGCAAATGTACCCACTCACATCTGAAATGAAGACAGAAAATAAACCAAAGAGCCCATTATGATCAGAATCCTAACACATGAATTCACTGTCCAACAATGATGTAAACAGAGAGAATAGAGCTGAAACAAGTGGTAATAACCACAGATAAAGTCCATGCACACTAATTTCTCTTATTACAAGATCAGAAAAATATAATATTGTGGCTTCTTCACTTCACACCTGAATGAACTGAATTTAAAGCTGCAGAGCAATTCAATGAAATTAATTTTTCTAAAATGAATTACTTTATTTTAAGATGCACATTTTTGAAAAGCTTCTGTTATATTAGCTTATGTAGCTTATGTATATATACGTATGTATATATACGTATGTATATATACGTGTGTATATATACCTACGTGTATATATACCTACGTGTATGTATATGTATGTGTGTATGTATACCTACGTGTATATATACCTACGTGTATGTATATGTATGTGTGTATGTATATGTATGTGTATATATACCTACGTGTATGTATATGTATGTGTGTATGTGTATGTATGTATGTATACGTATGTACGTATGTATGTCTACGTATGTACGTATGTATGTCTACGTATGTACGTATGTATGTCTACGTATGTACGTATGTATGTCTACGTATGTATATGTATGTACGTACGTATATATATGTATGTACGTACGTATATATATGTACGTATGTATATGTACGTATGTATATGTACGTATGTATACGTACGTACGTACGTATGTGTATATGTATGTATATGTGTATATATATGTATCTATGTGTATGTATGTATGTATGTATATATGTATGTATGTGTATATATATATGTGTGTGTGTGTGTGTGTGTGTGTGTGTGTGTGTGTGTGTGTGTGTGTGTGTGTGTGTGTGTGTGTGTGTGTGTGTGTGTATATACATGTGTATATACATGTGTATATACATGTGTATATACATGTGTATATACATGTGTATATATGTATGTATATATGTATGTGTATGTATGTATATGTGTATATGTATGTATATGTGTATATGTATATGTATATATGTATGTATGTATATATATATATGTATGTATGTATATATATATATGTATGTATGT